GGTAGACCGCTGGCAACCGGCTTTTATTGAAACCCCCGACTAAATGGATTACAGATACAACTTTGAAAAACAAGGTTCCTGATATTAAACCCAAAATAACCAGTAGGTTCAAAATGCCAGATGTCAGTTTTCAAATTGGCCATCCTAGCTTTTACGTTCCAGTTACTTACTAAATTTTTACATAATTAAAAGAAGTTGTTCACAACAATTCCCTTGGCCATAAGCTGAGAAACCATTCCTTGTGTAACCTGCAAGTACAAAGATATCACATCATTTATGTTTTTTTATTAATAAAATTAATAAAAGCTCTGCACTCCTCGTCATTTAAGGTTGGTTTTCATTAGCAACTGAGTTGGAGTCGGAGTTGGAGTCATAGCCCGAGTCGTAAGGGCACTTATGACCTAATGAAAATTGAAAATTGGAGTCGTAAGCAAAGCCGTAAACTTCACGGAATCGGAGTCGGAAGAATTAGAACATTTCCATTTCATTCGATCCTGTTTACGACTCTGTCGCTTATGTTCTAGTGAAAACTAGATTGTCGGAGTCAGGAGCAGAAGCGGAAGAATCAACCAATCACAAGGCCAGAATCAAGCATTGTGATTGGTTTAATTTTCCACTTCTGCTTCCAACTCCAACAATGTAGTTTTCACTAGATCATATGGGATGGAGTTGAGAGCGCAATGGGTGTTCTGCTTCCGACTCCGTCGATTTGATTTTTCACTAGATCGTATTGCTCTACATTTCTGATTATGACTCCAACTATGATTCCGTCGCTAGTGAAAACCAGCCTTTAGTGTTTTGATGGCCTTGAAGTTAAGGTTGCTGATCATTTAACCACAATATTTCTTTTAAGAGCTGATTCCAGCCAATGCATTTCTGTCATTATCATCAATTAAAAGTGATCACCACTGATTATTAATGATTGCCATCAACTGGCAATTTGACAACAAAAATCTTAATCCGTGAGCTGCCACTTATGGACCTTAACAGAATCTTCCATTCCAGTCAAAGGCTACTTACGGACTTACATGACAGGATTTCATTCTGCATGTGCCAGCTAGTTAATTGATGGACAAAAATGTGTTCTTTCTGTGTTTGCTGATGATGAGTGTTAATTACTAGATAGACTACTCAATAATTCCTTCTTTCTGTTTAGAAGCCTCTGGGTACTCTGTTTTAGCTCCCAAGCAAACAGAAAAGATGCTATTCTGAACAAGCTCGAGACCATGGAGGTACTTACAGCACAACCCTTTATCCTTAGAAGCTTCAGCTTGCATCTTGGTGACAGAAATTTGTTAACACTCTGATCAGTGACAGAGAAGCACCAGCTGACATCTAACTCTGTTAAGTCACCGGAATGCTTTGCCAATGCAGTGACACTCTTGTCTGTTACTCCATAGCAGCTGCTCACATGAAGCTCTCTAAGAGTTGGGCATCTCTCACTCAAGGCTACTACACCCTGATCAGAAATCTAAAATATTAAAAAAAAAAATAGTCGTATATTGAAGAAGGCAAAGGATCTCACTCTGCAAGATCTAAAAAAGTATTTCAAAAGAAATCTTGAGTTTTATTTTAGTCAATCAAAGTATGATTTTTTTGTGTGTGATTGTGTTTTTTATACCCTGTAAAACAATTCAGAGCAAAAAATTAATGATGATATGTGTCCAACCCGCAGAAATGTGCAGAATGAACATGTAGCACAAAAAAATTTAAAATACTCTCTTTCCATCACAGCTTTAATGTGTAACTGTTGTGGCTGTTACAAAAAAATATAAAAATAACAAGTTCTTACACAGCTTTCCACTTGAAGCCCCCAGCTGTAGCTTTGTTGAACATGTGCCTAGAATTGCTTGCCTGGCTATTTTCTGATAAGGCCATTCCTGGCATAAAAAATTTCATTTCCCATCGCCCTCTCTCTTGTGTAAGTGAGTCAGTGAGTTATATATTTCCCACAGCCACTATCGAAAAGGTGCATGAATCAACGAGATCATCATGAGGACTGATTTAAGGGTCAAAGTCACTTGAAGATTTCCAAAATGGGAGCAGGCAATCAATCAAAACATCTTGTTTTTGTACTTATTCAAAAAATCTGGCTTACTCAGGTGATGGGAAACAAAACATTTTATGCACATGGCCTAAAAGTCCTTAAACAGTTTTGCTATAAAAAAGCAACTGTAGTTTCATTAAACAAGTGCCTGGCTGCCTGTCCAGATATTTTTGGAAAAAGAACATTAAAAGCATCTAAGATGTCTCTTCCATACATTAAAGCAGCTACTTAGATCCAGCTCTGCCAATTGCTTGCAGTATCTTGCTACTGTTTCCAGGGCAGCATCACTTACTCCCTTACATCTGCTTGCTGTTAGAACTGACAGCTTGCTACAGTTCTTGGCGATCACAAACAAGTTCTCTTCTGTAACACATGGCCAACATGAGTCGAGATGAAGAACTCGCAAATTGTTGACGTATCTTAGCATATGCTTCAGCCCATCCTCTGTCAGAATCGATTCATAAGGAACAAAATCCAAACACATTACGCCTCCAAGATACTCATTAACGTATCTCCTCCATTTTCTCGACAGTCTTCGACACAAACACAAAGATGTCAAGTCCAACCAGCCGAAAATCTTGAAAATAATTTCGGTTGGGAAAATTTGGAGTACATCCATCTCATCAGCTTGACATGATTTTAACGTTAAAATATCTCATCCAAATTGAGATCGCTGCTCATACTCATATTTTAAGCGTATTCGATTTGAAAGGTCATATAAAATTCATCATTGTGCTTGCTCGTTGTCCACCTGATCTTACTAAGACGAATGCCTTCCTAAGGGCATTGCATCTTTTAACAGTGACTGTGGTGGCCTAAATTAATTTACCATCTTTTCACTACAATGGCTATAAATGAATTTCTACACCTTGAGCTTCAGTTGTTACCTTTAAACCCTTTATAATGCCTATTTAACGCGATGCCGAAGAAATTGAAATGCCGTTACAAAACTGATGAAACGTTCCGAAACGTTGAATACAATAAGTAGCAGGCGTTTCATCAGATCAAAACAAACTGGACTGGGTCGGACTGGGTCGGACTGGTGAATTAGAGCCCAGTCTACCACGCGGCCTGTACTAAACGGTACATTCTTTTTAGTACGATTATTGGTGGCGGTGAATTCTTGCCCTGACAGGTTATGATAAAAATCACAAGTAACTCCCTAAGTCAGTTATTGTTGTTGTTGTTGTTTTTGTTTTCTTTTGTTTCGTTTTGTTTTTTTGTGAAGGCAATGGAGAGCCCCACGTTGTGTCGGTTTCTGCTTTTAATTTACATCCTTCAAGGGGTCGGTACAAAACGTGGACCCCTCAATCTGGAACCCCTACTGGACCCCCTTTTGGACCCCATCTGGACCCCTTCTGGGCCCCTTCTGGATCCCCTTCTGGACCAATATTTGGACCTCCATCTGGACTAGATGGGGTCCAAAAAGGGGTCCAGATTGAGGGGTCCACATTTTGTACCGACCATCCTTCAAGAGCCAATACAGAATACTGATCTCGTGATCTTTAGAGACACCAGCGTCCCATGTCTCTACGTACGGTGTACGAGCACTATAGTCCCCTCTCTCGACTACTGAAGCTTTGCGCGATTCCGTCTCATTCGGACATAGCAGCTCCATTCGTACCACCTCAGCCCCCCTCCCCCACAAGCAGAGGGGCTGTAGGTCTTTGGCTGAGTGATCTTTAATCTTTAATCTTTAATAAGTATACTCCTGAAACAGTGGAACTATACTAGGAGTTGAAAATAACATAATAAAAGCACGTTATAAATAATTACAATATGTATATATACAGTAAAAATTATAAGTTGGTAAAAGATAAAATAAAATAGATTAAGTACAATCTCGTCGAGATAAGTTAGGACGTCTGAATATACATTACACAAAAGATTTAATGGCTGCAAGAGCAAATAGTCTTAAAATTATTTATATTAACATCTTCGACCAGTTTATGGTCGACCAGTTTATGGCCCGTTGGTCAATTTGGTGCTGGAAGCAGGGTTTTTGTTCTTCTACTCGTCAGCTTCGATCTGGGCCGGGCTGGATCCAATTGTGTTGGAGTGTTCCTGTAGTACTGAACAGCAAAAGATGATTATGGTCAGTACCAGTTTCACTTGATTTGCGTAGGAACCGTTTTGCTGTGCTCAGAGCAGACTTTACTTCTCTACTGGACTCGCTTTGTCCCAGACTACTGATTGTATGCTGGAATTTCATGTCCAAGCGAAACTTGCCTTGTTCCATTGTCAAAGATCGCTTGATCTGGATGTCCCTATGTGTGAAGTGGTTCTTGAGTTTCAAGTCTTCGCTAGTTGACTTGGTATCAGCAGCTTGTCTAAAACCAATTGAATTGAATTCGATCGCAAAGAGATCGGTTCCTACTTTCTTCCAAGGTCGGTAAGGTATTTCATGCGGTAGAAGGGTTCTTTTGTCGTGACAACTTTCAGTTTTTGGCCTTCCTTTGGTTCTCACCGGATCTCTTTGGGCGGGAGGGTCACTGTGTTAACTAATTCGAATTTCCATCCAACTCCACGAAGTAAAATATCAAGCACGAAAGACCGTGTTACATTTCCAAACACCGAGAAGAGCGTTGAAAATACGACGTGCAGCGGAGTAGTTTTGACGAACTTTGAGGTGTTTGGAAATGTGGTCAAACACTGTCTTGAGTGTTTGATATATCTTCTCTATCGAAACAAAGGAGAAAACGGAGAAATA